AGTTAGCTCAACGATCGAAAGTAATACATTGATTCGTAAGATGTCTTCATTGTTGCTGCGACAGTACTCTGGTGTCGATGAGGTACCGAGAAATCATCATTCAACATTCATCTTAGGCAACTTCTTGAAAGGAGAACGAAAATTTAAGAGTGTAGCTTGAATGTGCTCATTGAGAATGTGTTCTCATTGAGGACTTCTTGCATTCAGAAATAAATTTTTCGATTTGACGAGAATTCTTGAGACGAGACGAGAATTAGTCTGAAAATATTCGCTGAAAAAAGTATCCTTTTCGACTTACAAAGGACAATCAGTTATCTTGTCTGAGATTATTGCTAAAAGTGAACTCATAATTGTGGAAAAGTTGTGAAGATAGACGAAGTTATCAGCTGACATGCTGGCATATTGTTTTTTCCTTTGATCACTGATTGACCTGATTGCGATGGTTCGTTCACGCAGTAGAATTTCATTAAGTTGTTGTGAAATTCAGTTGATGAAAGCGATGTCAAAAACATACGTACTTCATGAGCGAAATGTGAACGATGTGCAAAATTTCATCGAATATTTGATGCAAGTACGCGAGCTGCTCCAAGTCCAGTTTGAAAGTACCGAAGAAGCTGTTCTTAAGCGCGGTCTTTGGTATGTTCTTTCCGTTTCACTGTAGTCTCGAATGCATGTGCTTGTGGTTTTGATGTGTTTTCAGTCTGCAAGTTAAGGAACTGAGTGAGTGCGATATACACGGTGCACATGATAATGTGTAATGATAGTAGAAAACAAATGGGACATATTGATTTTGTTATAGGTACTGAATACTTTTTGAAGACATTGTTCCATGGCAGCAGTCTATATGAATTGAAAAAAAAGCACCAGATCATGAAAAAAAATCACAAGTTGAGATCAAGCAATATATCAGCCAGCAGAAGGGAATCAACTAGTTCAAAAACATGGGCGATGGATTAATATATTACGAATGAAAATTTCAAACGACTAACGAAAACGCTCAGATTCTATGCCCTAGACAACGATTAACTAATGAGCCGCTGCAGAGATTACTTACCGAGTTATCTTCTTTATTTCATCTTGTCAATGTGATTGTATCAATGATTCGATAATGCAGGCAATTGATGAACAATCGAATTTTCTTCCAACATCCGGATTTGATGCGATTGTTAAAAGTTCACGAAGATGTGATGACAATCATGATGAATATTCTGACCGCTCAGCAAGGTACAACCGAACACGTCGAACATCTGGAGACAGCTGCAGATGCGCTGACTGCAGGGGAACTGATTAAAGTAAACACATCTTTCGTTATTTCTTTCATTCATTTTATTTAGATTGAAAAACCATGAAAACAGTAACAATCGCACTTCTAATAATAACAATATTATTCGCACATAGACATCCAGATAAATGTGATCAATTGTATGTTTTATGTTCACGATGCAT